TAAAATTAAATGCTCTAAGACTTTCCTCATAGTCTCACCTCTTTAAGCCTTTTATACCAAATTAATATACACAATACCATTTCTTATTCTTCCCATTGATCGAGAAGATGGTCGTGGTGAAAATGTAAATCAGTTAAAACTGACTTGCTTCGATCAGTGTTTTATTAGAAGTTGATAACATTTTGGTAGGCCTACATCTAAAATAAGCATGTTAGTGCTTTAATTGAATTTCAATACTTTCCCAAATTACAACAGCATATTTTTAAGCAATTGTACATTTAAAAAATGTTGATATGATGACATTGATTTTTGATCAGTCAATTAATCTAATTACATGAAATTACATGTGTTTAATTGTTGATATGTAAATTTTCAAATACCGCTTTAATAGTTTAGGTTTATAAATACAGGCCTAATGGGGTTTCAACAAATAGTATCAATTCAATAGATAATCTGATATCTGACAATAAAAACCAATTCAAGAGATTATTGAAGGAAACGATATGGTTTATAGGAAACATTACAGTTATAAAGAAGCTTAATACGATTTTGAAGGAAGTATCGTGTGCAGCAGAACACATAAATTAGAGTAAATGGGTGGGTGTACATCTGGGAAGAGGGTTTGACAGACTGTTTATCAATAACTCTCAGAACTAAGCTATCAATTCGAGCAATAAATTTAATTATTTGAATTATTTTGTACATTTAAATACGGTATGTTATTACCGTTAAATTCAATAAGTGTAACTCGTCTATTTACGCATAGAACCAACTCATTGGTCAGCATAGCAACAGTTGCGGTAATCGGTGAGACTTAGTTTCCAATCCATTGAGAACTGAAACTACAAAATTCTATACCATCAACTGAAAATAAGCATCTTATCTTATACACTTTTACTGAGAGACAATTATGAAAGTTCATATTTTATATTATTTACAGGCGAAAACTATTTTTAATAATTGTAATAATACATCTGATAAAACAAATGAAAGATCTAAATGATAAAGTTTAGCTTTCCTATAACTAATTGACAATTTTTTTTGTTTAGGCCTGTGTTTCATTCAGTAATTTAGACATTTGTTGTTCTTTAGTATTGCGTATACTCTTTTGAATAAGGACTAAGCAATCTTATTGACGCAAGTTTGTTTAGATGAACCTCGAGTCCTAAAGTCTGCTTTCGATGTTTTTAATAATTTCGTTTATAGCCTCACTCTACCAAGCGCACGATAAGTGATTGTTATATTGTAATTTGTTGCTGGAATCAAAGCGGTAATCTTTTTTTTTTAAATCCAATCATGAATTATTCTCACGATTAATTCTAATTTTTTAAAATGAAACAATATTAACGATATTATTCACATTAATAAAATAGATTCTAGGTCACTAGGGTATGCAAATATTCGTTTTCCAAGGTTGGCTATTTTGGTTGTGTGATGTTATGGATTATGTGCGTAATCTAGATTAAATTTTTTAAGAGAAAAATATTGAAGTAGATACGATAATTGTTTTATGTTGACACTTAAGAGGTGAGAATATGCCAACTGGTAGGTTGACCTAGCCCCAGATACTTCAACCAGAACTTACAGGACACATTAAAAAAGCTGTTAAAAGCTCTTTTTTTTTTTTTTTTTTTTTTTTTTTTTTTTTTTAATTGTCCAGTTACATCTGCTCACTTGTTCTGCGCATTGAGACTCTCGTATGTTGCGCAATATAAATGAATAACCTTTAACCTATCTGTTCAGATTTTTCTATGATAGCGCCTTATGTTCGGTCCACAATTTTATGCGACAAATATCCGTGGTTTACCTATTAAAGCAAATTGTTGTCATATCACATCAATCAGCTAATCACAGGTTTGTTTCTACCGGCATGGACAAGCCCACTCTTGACCATTGACCCTCAATAAGCCTATACCGGTACCATACAAAATAAAGTAACACCTTTGATATAGTGTGATTCGGTAGTGGTTTATTACGACAAAAGGCAAATGGACCATCGCACAAGATCAGTCTTTTCTAAGAAAAATCAGTGAACGGATTGAGGCAATTTCACTCAGCAACGAGAGAAGGGGTCCGGTTGTATATGCACACGAGGACTCTGATGCAATAGATTGAAACTACGCGGACTGCGCGGCACCCCATGGCGTGTAGGCCTAGCTACGCCCATTCACATATAGAGGTTTCGATGTTTCAACTTTATTTGTCTTCAGTAAATGAGTATATAGTTAATTGTGTAAATAGGTTTAAGTCAAAGTAAAAGATTCAGAATGAACCTTTGAGTTGAACTGTTACAAATACAATATTCTAATATTGGAAGTCGCAATGCATGCATGCAAGGAAAATAGGCTACCGTACTCTACTCTTCGGAAGAGTGGATGTATTTAGATTGTTTAATTTTTCTGTCACCAGGCATATAATTCATATGGACTTATTTCTGAATAACAACAATCAATCAAAATAAAGATAATTAAGTATTACTGCATAGGCCTAAGCAGTATCACTTCCAATTTCACTCTAAGTACAATAGCGCCATCTAACGTCGAACACACAAAAAGTTTAGCATAGCGTGCTCGTTCAGTTAAAAGTTCTTGGTGTGCTAAGTGTTGGTGATGGGTGTCACGAACATAATGTCATTCACCAGTGGATATACTTTCTAAATATTTATTGTTATAAGATTATAATTGTTACGTGATTTGCATCTTTGATTCCATCGTATTGCTCATGTTTCTAATGACATGGCTGTACACAACTTATTAATGAATTATCATTGGCATAATTGACCAACGTGTTAAAGGCATTTGTTTGCTAAAAGTGCACTTTCTTTTGATTCTAGTTCTAAAATAAACTCGCACTTTTTAACAATTTGCTGTTTTTAAAGTGAAATAATTTCCACAGTGAAGATGATCGTCTGCTAGTGTTTTCCTCAATTGCAGAAAATATATGGAATGCATAGCGACTTAGGTCATAATTTCGCTTGTTTTCCAACAGTTACCATAGCCAAAACATGATTTTTGGGGTGTTGACTCTGCTGATCAGTAAACGTACACAATTATTGTAGTTCAGTCTGTTTGCTAAGTAGGCTTAATCAACAGTCGGGCTTGAGTCCAAACTAACAGTCACTAGCGACAGCGCAATAACGCTGCAGCCTCTCAAATGCGAAGTCGTTTTCAATCGAGTTTTATGGGCGTCTTTAACACTGACTGCTGCTTGGTTTAATTGGCTCAGTTAGTCCCGCTCATTCTCTTGATCAAGAAGAACATTATGAAGCATGCAGCAAGTTCGCTAAAAGCCATCTAAATGAAATCTAAAACATTACGAGTTATCATTAAGAATGTTTATCCTCCACACAATGAATATTCTATTGAGAATCTAGCCAAAGGCCCGAATGGAGAGTCGAGAGTCGAGACAAAGTCATTCACCCAAGCCTCATTCTGTACGCGCGACCTCAACTATTTTGTCTTTTTAACAGTATACAATATTTCCATTAATAAGCATTTACCATTGTTATTTATGATTGATATTATTGATATTACTATAAATATCACCAACATTATCATTATCATTACATTAGTTACCATTGTCATTATTATAATTATCATTATCACAATTAGATCAGCTTTAGGATGTTTACAACAGGCTCCAAATTATTCATGATGTCAATACCGGAAAATAATTTTGATACAAGGCCTGCTTACTCAGTTTTTCCTTGTCAATTAATTTATAATACAAAGTCTTTTGAAAGTCGTTTTATAACCAATCAATATGTATCTGTCTCTTATACACATCTAGATGTGTATAAGAGACAGGTATATAGTTACCTGTTGCCACCATGATAATAATCATCATAATCAGTATCATCAGAATATTAAAAGCACGGCAATCATATAACATACAGGAATTAGTGTTTATATAAATTGTATATATATATATATATATATATATATGTATATATATATATATACACAGTATTTGATTGATCATCATTCCTGATGATGTTCGAATAAAGAACGAAATATTGAATTATGGCTTTTCTTAGTCTTTTTGGAGTCTGCATATTATATAGTTGTATCAAAAATTAGGTCTCTGGTAGAGGAATCAAAACCGCTGTGTCTCGCTATATCGAGGAGCGTCATACCGTTTAGACCAAAGAGGCCGTGCGATATCATTACGGATCTAAGACCACTAGTCTCTCACTTGAGGGCTCACACATAGTGGAGCGAATTTTTAAGCTAAACTTATTACATCATGTTCCTATATAATAATTTGAGCACTGTATATATTTGAATCACATATATGTGTGTATATTATATATATATTATATATATATATATATATATATATGTACATATATATGTAATATAATTGTAATATATATATATGTAATATATGTATATATGTATATATATTATTATTATTATATATGTATATATAAATGTATATATATAGGCCTATATGTATATATATATATTCTGCACGTGAAAATGTCAATATATATTTGCGGCTCACCATTCCTTTTGATTTTTATAGCTTTATTTTGCTTTTCTTGATTTTATGGTATATAGTCACAGATAAATGTATAACTTAAATAAATTTTCTTGAACCACTGCTTAGAGACAAAAATAAAATCCATAGTCCTTACTGAGTTGACAAGCGCTGTATCGAAACAAGCCCTATTTTATATTTTACAGCCAGAGTGCCTGTGTATGGAATACATGTTAAATTGAATTGAATATGTTGTTTAAGTCATATGCATATTATTTTAAAGGAAGTCACTAATTCATCATGAACACATTTTTTTTGTAACAAAAATCGAGGTAAACAGACAGCATATGTCATAATTTTTAATTACATATTGTGAATACTAACCACCTTGATGTTAATGATTTCATAAATAATCATCTGTTATTAACAGAATTGTAATGGAAGACATATGTATATTTTTTAATTTCAACATTTGGCATTCTTAAAAATGCTAATGCTAATTTTTTTTTCTTCATTAGATTGGTGACCGTACTTTGGAGATTTCAAATTTAACAAGGAAAAGTGAGAGACAGAAGGAATGGACTTGGAAAAAATAATTGCTGCAGTAGTAAACATCTGACCGTGCAGGTCCTCGGCGTGGAATTATGTTTAACGATATAAATGATTTTCACGCTGCTAAACATTGTCTACACGGCACAGTGTGAAAATCAAAGGTGTGGAGCTAATTGCGTTTGTTATGTCAGATGTTAACGACAAAAAGATAACTTGGACACGCAGTTACTGTAGAAAACGTTGAGCTCCGAGGACGACGACGCTGATCTATCAAATGTAGCAGGCAAAATGACAACTTATGTCTGGGGCTTAAGCAAACAGAAAACGAAGATTTCCTAAAAAAATAAACTATCGCACATATGGCTAATTAAAATTAACATCGTTTCTGCTACAGAATTAAGTTTGTAATTTCAAAAGAATGGTAAATAAAGTGTTATAAATAAGTTCTCATTTATTTTATGTGCGTGTTTAGCACTGAGATTGTCAATGTTCTCATGTATAGGTTACGTATCTTAAAGTCCATACCTGCTGTATTATGACTCTCTCAAATTCGTATATTGTCAATGGCGACAGACAGTGTCTAAACCAAGGAATAGTGTTTACAAAACATATCATTTTCAGCAAATTACAAGTCACGTGGTCTGATGACATAACCAAAACATCGGTAATTGCCCATATTTTTTTTCGTCGAAAACTCGACAAAAAAATTAAATGTTCCATATAATGGTGATTGGAATACTAAACACCATTACATTAAAGTGTATTGTGCGGTAGGCCTACGCAATATGATCTTATGTATCGCATGCTTGCTTAACTTCATAAAATATGTACGTGTGATTGGCGTATTCCGTTTTCCCCTCTTCACCATATTCACGTAATCACCTACTGTACATAATTATGGTGATAACAATTATGTAAGTATCTTTAAATGCCATTGTAAACGTATAAAGATAATCCTAATTTCCCCAGTTAATATTTATTTATCTACGTATATGTAACGTACTTATTCGTTAACCTCCATGTGAACGTATTTGATCGCACACTGTCTTTAAAATAAAAGCTGATGCGGGCACGTTGCAATATGCCTACGGGTGCGTATTATGCCGTAGTTGTAGAAACAATACCAGGAGCTATTTTCCCTCATATCCGCCCCTTTAAACGTTGACCATTAATAGCTAACAATGGTTTACCGTTTTTGAACTCGAGGTAATATATCAGGGGAATGACTTCTTCAACTCTGGTACAGTTATCCTTGCAGAGTAAGGGACAGTTCTTTTGACCATATGTCGTTTATGGTTATCATTTCATGTTAAGCTATAAATAATGGGAAAACCGACACATTCAAAGATTTTATTGTAAATGTTGGGAGTAAAATGTCACTTGTACTATCGTTACTTGGAAAACTTGGAAATAAATCAAAGAAAAAAGCAAAGAGTTCATTATAAGTACGGTACTACGTACAGTGCTCTAGGTGTATGTACTGTTGCTGTTGCTACTCTGATAAATATTGGGCCGAATGTGGTTGATTGTTTAAATTTCATTTGTTCATAATATTATTTATCAATCTAAATCCATGTTCCCACTCATCCATCCTTCCTTTCGCTCATATAGGCCTATCCATGAGTTCATCCGTCCATCCATGCTTACATGCATGCATACATACATCTATCCATGCATGCACATATCCATCCATCAATCCATACCGGTACATCAATTCAGTCATCTTTTTATACATATTCATTCATGCATGTAGGCCTATTCGTTCGTTCATTCATTCGTTCAGTGGTTCCTCCTTTCGTTCATCCCTTATGCGTCTGTTCATTTATTCATTCAGTCATTCATTCGTTCGTTCGTTCGTTCGTTCATTCATTCGTTCTTTTCGTTCATTCATTCGTTCATTCATTCGTTCATTCATTAATTCATTCATGCCTTCGTTCGTTCATTCAATTCATTCATTCAGTTATTCATTGTTACGTTTATTCATTCGACACCCGATCATTTATTTTATATTCATTCATTCACCCCGTTCATTCACAAAATCCCTGTCATAAAATATATTTATTATCTCCAACAAAGAGAATACATATGCATATTTCCATTCAGAATGCATACATGCATCCATATCCAACTATCCATTAATCCAGCATGTAACTAATGTATTCGTCTACCCACAAACTCAATATTATTGATAATGATGATGATGATTGATATAATATAAAATTATAATAATAAAATAGGCCTAATAATGTTATACCTGGTAATAATAATTATTATTAACATATTTATTATAATAATAAGGATATGTGATAATAAATAGCCCTAATGAAGATATGTAAGAATTAGAATAACAAATATTTAAACAGACATTTAAAGCTCAAATTTATATCATTCCAGTGTGTTGTTTTGTTATTTATTAAGGAATATACATTTGTTAGCGATCGAATTATCAGATAGTAAAAATGATACTTTTACATGACTGGTATATTAATTTGATTATCATTGTGTATATAACTTTGCCTGAAGTATAGAATAATAAAATGATAAATAATTATCATTATGAATACGTAATCGAATAAATTACTAAATTCATGACATAATACAATAGCAATATTTCATTTTATTTCATACTAATCAAACAGCGCCACTTACAGGTTATAATTTTATAAGGGTCCGGTATCTTGTATCTTACAAAACTATATCCCGGACTCACCGTTCGTCTAAGCAACGTCTCATTATACTATGTTACAAGCCATTTTCAAATATAACTTGTTTGGTCTTTTCACTTGCTATACCCGGTATAAGACTTCAAATGATAATAAATACCGTAAAAAAAATGATTGATTGTTTCCATCAAATCGTTATTTCAGCAGTAATTGCCATATAAAATAACAGAAAACAGAAGCATCATTAAAAATTCAAAAAGAATATGCTAAACCCTGAGCAGAGTAAACTATTTTAATTGAAGCCCCGGTTGCTTAAAACAGTATTGATAAACAGTTTTAACTAACTTTTTTGTACTCTTTTCCAATCTACACATAAAATTATAGCATGTTCAGAGGCGGATCCAGAATTTTTCAAACGTTTCAATATGGCAAAACGGGGGGGGGGGCACGTGCTCCCTGTTCCCCCTACTGGATCCGCTCCTGATGTTTTTCTATAATATTTATAGCAAAAGGGCATATTGTGCAAGACAAAATACAGTGCCGAAGCAGACCAATGAGTTTTCTTAATACATTATTATTTTTCAAACGTTTCAATATGGCAAAACGGGGGGGGGGGGCACGTGCTCCCTGTTCCCCCTACTGGATCCGCTCCTGATGTTTTTCTATAATATTTATAGCAAAAGGGCACATTGTGCAAGACAAAATACAGTGCCGAAGCAGACCAATGAGTTTTCTTAATACATTATTATAACAAACTAGAGGTAGAGCTAGCTTGGATGTATTTTTTAAAAGCGAACTATTATCGTCCGTCAAAGACTTTTCCAGACGACATCACCTGTCGTTATTGTCAAGATATATATATATATATACTGTCTCTTATACACATCTAGATGTGTATATTTCAGATACACATATACAATATTTAACATGAAAGAATGTGTTGACAAGCGCTAGTGATGACATCGCGTTCCGACTTGCTTTCTAAAGCGACGGTCTGAAAATCTGTGTGCCATCTCAGAAAGGTCACAACAGTACACGTCAGTGTGTTTTGCTACTAGGCCTACATACGATATCATTTAACAATTAATCATTTAATTTATCATTTTGATACTCTAAAGTCAAACAGAGTAAAATAGCTTGCGAGCCCCGAGGCGATTTTTTTTTCTTGCGGTAAATGCACAACACTAGGCCTAGAAAATGAATGTCATTGTGTTCTCGAAGACAACAAAGACTAATACAACCTTAGTGATGAGAGTACTGAACAACGGAAAGCAGGCAATTTCAAGGCTATATACCATAGATCTTACAACAGATTGATAATTAATTTTGCAATGGTAGATTTGACCGTATTTGCAACACTCGCGTCACAAAATGATAATGTCATATAGGCCTACGCCATATAATATTATCTAAATACATAGGCCTACACAAATATAACAAAATGGTATAATATTCAGTCAACTCCCCACCCCCTCCCAAAAAATCACCATGTCCTCTCAACATATAGAGATAGGCAGTTTTATGCCAAATACTGGAAACTAGCAGTTAAATTCAGTTGTTCATCTACATGCCTAGTTAAGGTTGACAATCTAAAGATGTGAATATTCCAATTTTCAATTAATTTGATTTGTTAAAAGTCCTAAACTTCACTTAACCATGACTAAAAAATTATACCACCATAAAGCCACACTATTGGTCACATTACTGAGCCTAAAAATAAATACTGTACATTAATCAATTAGTTTATTTATTTATTCAACAATCTGAAATTTAATTTTTTTTAATTGTATTTTTGCCTGTGTAAAGTCGAATAAATAAAAAAATAAAATTAAAAAAAAACAATATTTTGAGGTGGCTCTAACACCAATGCTGACTTGAAGATGCTCTCTTTCAAACAATTCAAATTACGTATATAACATCCTACAATGAATATAATAATGAGAAATTTTTAAATATTCCAAAGTTTAAAATTTAAAATTTCAAAAATAAAGGAATAATTTCAAAGTTAAACTCCAAAAATTGCAAGAATAACGAATTGCATTAAAAAACAGAAAACAACAATTAAAAAAAAGTAAAATTAATTTACAACACATTGCACTCAGAAACAAATATACACCAATTAAAATGTATCTTTGAAATATCAAAAGATAAAACGTTAAAAGATGGAGATAGTTATAAAATAATACGGTTTCGTTCCATTTCCTCTAAATCATGGAGTAATCTGGGCAGAACATTCAGTATGCATACCCCGACCAATTGACAGGTCTCCCTTCGAATTCTATTTGAACTTATCTTGCGGATAGGCATGTTCCATTTACCAACAAAACTAATATCAACGTTAACACACATTTTGGTAATACTTTTTGCAAGACAGATGGTAGGTCCTCACCCCATAGGCTAAATTCTAAGATCATCCTTTGAACTGCCATAGAAAGTTCTGTTTATTCTAGGCCTACGGATTAGGTCTTTTTCTTCTTGGTACTTGAACAGAGTCTGCTAAGCTGAAATGTAAACGACACGCTACACCGAGCGGTTGTTTTCACAGGGCTACAATGGCAACGACACTAAAAGAAAAGCAACCAATCTCTGCCAGCTTTCAATCTCTTATAAACATGCCGTCGGTGTATGAAGTACTAAAGAAAACAAGGAACAAGTAAACCGCGCCTACACTGACAGTCTTTCTTATCATTGTGTACCTTACCGGTATTTTTTTGTTTCTATGCTAACCCGTTTTGTAAGTGCGTCTTTAAAGTTCTGGCTCACTCTCCAATGAGTAGTTTAAGACGAGTAA